CTTTTCTTTACTGATGACACATTAATCTTCTGTCAACCAGATTTGAGAAATTTACTTCATCTGAGATGTGTACTTTTATGCTTTTAAGCAATTTCGAGTCTCAGAATAAACCTTAATAAGTCAGAATTAGCTAGAATTGGTGGCAGCGGTAAAGCTAGGTCTTATGCCAAAATTTTGGGGTGTAGAGAGGTTAAATTTCCTTTTAAGTACCTTGAGGTTCCGTTGGGTGCAAATTACAAAGATTAAGCTACTTGGGAATCGGTTATCGACATGTTTGATAAAAGACTTGCGAGGTGGAAGAGAAGTTTTCTATCTAAAGGTAATAGGTTCACTCTAATTAAAAGTACTTTGGCTAATCTCCCAATTTATTACCTCTCAACAATGACTATTCCTGTCAAGGTGGCTAAGAAGTTGGAAGCCATCCATTGTAGGTTTCTTTGGAATGATGTTGATGATGAGTGCAAGTATCATTTGGTGAAATGGGATGACATCAAAGATCCACTCAACTATGGGGGGCTTGGTATACGATCCATGGTATTAAATTGAATGAAGCGCTTCAAGGAAAATGACTATGAAGGTATTGGAGGGAAGAAAACAAATTATGAGAAAGGATTGTTGACTCGCAATGGGGTGAGTAAATGGCTGGAAAATCTGGTAACAGAATTGCTATACCACATGGACGAGGTTTGTGGAGGAAAATTTTGATGCAGTGGAATTGCTTCCAGCAGTGTATTAAATGGAGGATTGGTAGAGGGAATAGATCAAATTTTGGGATGACGACTGAGTTGGTGAAGGCTGCCTAAGTAGAAGATTTTCCAGAATTTGTAGTGTTGCCCAATCTAAGGACATGGTTGTAGAGGAGGCTTACCTCGTTTCAAATGAGAATGTTGCTTGGTCAGTTAATGTTAAGCAGAATTTGAATGATTGGAAGATTGGTGAGTTTGAAGAACTGTTGCAAGTATTTGCAACACAGCAGGTGTTAAATTCTGAGGATCAAATAGTGTAGAAACTGGAAAAGAAAGGAATTTCTCTGTTACTTTGTATTACAACCATCTGAGTAGTATGGGAGGTGCTGTCAGGATAGATTTTCCTGCTAAACTCATTTGGAAAACCATTGTTTCTCCATGGACTGCTTTTTTTGCTTGGGAGGCATGTTGGGAGAGAATCTTAACCATTGACAAGCTGAGAATTAGAGGTCGGATACTGGTGAATTGCTGCTACTGCTATGTGAAGGCAGAGGAAACATGTAAGCATCTTTTATTATGGTGCCCTACAGTATACAGCTTGGGGTGTATGATCTATGGGTTTTTAGGGATTGATTGGGTTATTGCTGGCTCCGTTGGTGAGAAGGAAAGGCTGATACATTTTTAATTCAATTTTCAAATCAAATTCTCTCTCTCTCTTTCTTCGCAGTTCCTGTTTTGCTTAACCGATTCAGTCATTAGTCCATGAATAAGGTTCCTGACAGAGTATTAATCCCAATAAAACTTTATAATAGTGTTCTTTTTATGTATGTGGAGGTAATCCCAACCATATGCTGCCATAGGACGCATGCTTCATATCGGTTACGGTCTTTCTTGTTTTGTTTCGTACTTTTTGTATAATATTATGAGGCACTAAGAGGAGCCACCTATGTGCAAAAAAATGTTACAAGTTAGTCAAAATATCTAACATGTTCCCTCCATTCTCCTCAAAGGAGAAAGGGTGATACTCAATCAAGTTTATGTTATTGGACACAAATATTGTCGTATTTTTATTCTTGCCTTCTTGACCTTCCTCACTGGTTTAGTTTACACCTATAATGTAATTCAGCTGACCATAGTATTTCCATATTTTTCCAGTGTAACCGTTTCCTTTCTTTGTATACAGATTATAGCTGCTATTACTTATCAAATAGTCCCTGCTGATACACATTATGCTGAGATACCTCTGGCTGCTGTCAGATCAATGTACCAAAAGAAGGTTAACTATAGTTGCTCTTTCTATTTTAGGACTTATTAAGTATTAGTGATTTTATTGGATGATTTTTTTAACTGTATACCATGACCTGTTATTGTACCACTAAAATTTCTTCCCATTCTTTTTCCTATTCCTGTGATTGATAATATGCGCCTCATATGGAAAGTCCTTTCTCAGTAGAACTAGTGTATTTTGTTTAACTTTCAGGGAATCGGTCGCGTTCTCTATAATGAATTAAGGAAGCGGCTTCAGAGTGTTGGTGTTCATAATATACTCTGCTGGGGAGATAAGGAATCTCAGGGATTTTGGCTTAAACAGGTATGTTAAATCAAATTTCCTAGAAAGTTGAGCTGGGAAATTCGCTTGGCAATTTTCCTTGAGTTATATTTTTTGGATGTAGCTGCTAGTTTTTTGTTGATTTTTTCTTGTGGAAAAGAAAATGCTGATTGAATTTTCATCCTTTTGTAATGATTGAAACAAGTTTAGGGCTTTATATCAATAGCAGAGATTGGCACCAAGGGTAGAGTTCGAAGATTGCCTATTAAAGCTGGTATTCAGAGAGCATTATGTTTTCCTGGTGGATCTACGCTCATGCTTTCTCATCTTAAGGGGGCTAATGCATTTAATCCTTCAGAAACTCTGAAGTTCCTTCTACCACTAAAGCATCATGAGAAATCTTCCTCAGCTTCCAATAAATCTGTAGCTCATGCATTTCTGAGCGAGGGTGAGAATATTGTGACGTCATTAGGCCAAACAATCTCCAGAACTGAATGTTCTCAACCTGAGGTGTTGGTGAAAGATAGTTTTTCTACAGAGAACTGTAAGTTAGATGGTAAGTATAAATTTGAGTTGTTTTGATTATCTGTACATTGTTTAATAAATAAATTTGGTTCTTTTCCTGGGCAGGAATTAAAAGGATTCCATACTGAAGTAAATTACTTATTTTCTTCTTTTCCACTAAATAAACTGAACCGTCCGCTATTTTTGAATTATTACATAAGTGATTCACGATAAAGAAAGATTTTACAAATTTGAAAAAGAACGCAGAACTTATTTGTGTCTCGAAACGTGTACAACTGCTTTAGAGGACATGAACATTAAAAAGAAATTATGGTGTGTGTCTCGTACTAAGTTCTACAACATACCTTCATAGGTTTTCATCATGCAACCCTGTTCTTTTCTTTTCTTATTCACAGGGTTCTCTTCTGATCGAGATTCAATACACAACTGTCAGGACCCCTGCACTTTTGGAGGAGACGAGGTAGTGCAGTGCAACATGGCTATGGATGCAGCCAAGGAAAGGTGTGATGCTGTAAGAAAAAGCTGTTCTTGTTCAATTCAAGGCAGAAAGAAAAGATTTTGGGAATCTTCATTATCCTCCCTAAAGTCAAAAAAGGTTAAGGGAACCCATCAAGATGTCTCTCGGTTAGGTTCCAACTGGGCTGTAGTGTCAGAGTCTGAAGATGGACAACCAAAGAGCAATTCTCTATTAGAAGTTTATGCTCCTGAGTGTTTGTTCATTTGCAGCAAAGAAAATAATGTAGAAGAAGGTATACCAAGATGTATGATAGTGGAGTCCCAGACTGATAAAAAGTGTCAATCAAATGGAGAAATTTTTAGAATCATGTTGATGAATATTGCAGATGATACTAAGAAAGCACATCTTACAAAGGTATATCTCATTTATGTATTTGTTGGGCACAGCTTCACAAGTCATCTCATAGTTAAGTAGTTTCCATTAATCATGATTTGCTGAGATTCTGCCATTCTTGCTGCTGGAAATAAGATCAAAAGAAAGTTTCCACTGTTTCCCATCTGTCTCCTAGTGGTGCTTCTCAGGATTGGGTGTTTGTGGGCCTAATTGTTTGGCATACGAGGAACCTTAAAAAAACTGTATCTTGGTTTCACTGGAGAATAAAAACCATTTAGGATGGTCCTTCATAAACGGAAAAGAACAGCCCAAATTTGCTGATGACCTGTTTTCTTTGGTTACTAACAGAGATTGTTGTTTCAATTGTATAGATTTCCTTCTCTCTTATGTTTCACATATGCAATCATAAATTATTTTTTTCACATATATCATTGCTTTTCTTTGGGTATAGGTGATTGAAAACCTAGGAGGCGTTGTTACCTCTGATGGAAGTGTTAGCACACATGTTGACAGGAAAAGCAAGGAGGACATTGAATTTCTGTGCTGCTCTTTGTTCAGGGTCAGTCTTAGTTACTTTGAATTTTTCTCAGCATTTATTGTATGATCCCAATGAATTCATGAAAAGTCATCAAAGTGAGTTAAAATCTAACAGATAATTTTATAAATTCAAAACCGGTCTCTTTTATCAAAATCTACTTTGTTTTGGGCATCTCTACTTTTTGGATAAAAACATTTAAGTTTAACTGATGACCTTAGAGTTGCATTAGTCATTTAACTAGAGGATTTTCATCCTGGTCATGGAAAAACACAATCACTGTATTTTTTTGGTGCTTGTTTGTATATTTCTGTGTATCTTGGATTGCTGATTTTCTAGGAGAGAGAAATAGAGCTAGCATGAGCACTGGAGCAAGTACGTTGCTTTCTGCATGTTTCCAGAGCAAACACCCTATGGAAGTGATTAATTTTATGTCATTTAAATGGAACAAGGTCAGCCTTTGGTGAAGAATCTGGGAACATTTTATTTTGCTTTTTCTCGAATAAAAAGATATTGTAAGCCTCCAGAGGCAGCACTCTTATGGTGTCATCTCAATGTTCATTCCCATACTTCTGTCTATATATATAGTTATTTTCCAGTTGGCATTTTTCTGAGGTTTCTTGCTTTTCTGCATCCTTTGACTTGAATGTATTGATTGTACATGTGCCTTGAATGCTGGTTCTTTATTGTTTAAGTTATAACCTAGAGCTGTGGATGCTGAAGCAGAGCTTGGATAGTCTCCCCCAGCTGGTTGAAGGACAGTTACAGGGAGGGTAGATTTGTGGGTGAGTTGGAAGAGATATTTTCTTTCAAGTGTTGAGTGGAATCAAAAACTTATAAAAAAAGTTTGAATACCATATTAACGCTGCGTCTTTTTTGTATAGATGAATATTCTTATCTGCTACATGATGAAGATTACATATTGAAGTACAGAACTGAGTTGAAAACCGCAATTCTTAGAGCCAGAGTTAGAGAACATGGTTTGCTTAAAGAATATGATATATGCATAGCTTGTCATGTTCAACCTGGTGCTGGAACCCTTTCAGCCATTGTCAGGTGTGCTGGTGGAAATGTAAGTCCCAGCACATGAATTGTTCTGATTCTTAGCTAAACAGGCATGTGATTGCAAATGGAAGTTTACTTGTGGTTAGCATACATAGCAGAGTCACATTAATGATCACACATTACTTAGCATGCTGTAACAAATTCAAAATATATGGACAAGAATGCAATATCAATTTCGAGACAGTGAAAAAAACCTATAAAACAGCCTATGTATGAAAGTAAATTGTATTTTATTTATGTTTTCTGGTTCCTGTGTCCAACTTGGACACTGAAGAAAAATAAGACTTCCCGAATATTTCAATAACATGTTATAGATGTTTCAGATTAGCCTCACCTGGATCATAATACATATACGATATATGGGTAATTTACATATATAAACTTGGATGCATTTGATAATAGCTAAAGCATCCTAGTAACATTTCCTTCAGCAATTTCACATGCCCTTCAAAATTATTGATCATGTTCAAAAATTCAGACTATCTGTGGATTGAACAAAGTTGAAGACACATCAAAAACAATCTTCATTGCATGTGAAGACGACATGGACGAGGCCTTATCAGCTATTAAGAAAGAAATATGGACTTTCAGCAGTGACTGGTTAATAAACTGTGTCATGAGACAGGAACTTGATTTCGAAGCTCCTCAATTTGCGGAGTCACTGTAAAAGCTTATTTTTTTTTGTCAGCATTCATTAAAATTTATATTAGAATATATTGTAAATTCTGATCCTTACCAACACTATAATATATTCTTTTGGTTGGAAATGACTTTTGTAATATTATTTGTAAAAAGTTTAACATTGTTAAAAGTACCTATATTATAAAACAAGTCATTTTCAAAATTCACGTATATTGAATTTCTTCATACTCCATAGTTTTAACTATTTTCTACATGTTTTTGTATTGAGATTGATTTTTTCTTTTTAGACAATTTGAATATCTTTCTTTCAAATATATGTATTAAAAAAAAAAAAGATGTCTATTAAAATTATGGTATCAATTTAGGAAACATAAAAGTTTTATATTCCTCTTGTGTTAGTCATCAAAAGATTTTTTTAGTTGGGAATGGTATATTAATTGAGTTATATAATCAAATGAGTTTCATAACTAGTAACATGTAACCATCTTTATTTTTTGTTTAAATTGAATCTTGTTTTTTTAAAAAAACTTTTAATATCAATATGTTTCTAATAAGAGTAATTTTGTTAGGAAAAATCCAGAAAAAAAAAAGTACATGATATATAACAACCGAAAATTTTTAGGCTATGTTTAAAGTATTGAATTTATTTATAAATATACGTTTATTTCAATAAAAAAAATATGATAAAATTTTAAATGAAATTAAAATAATATGTTTTAGATTTAATCAAGATTATGCTAATTCCAGACATAAAAATTTGTGTTTTTCATAGTTAAAGATGTATTCGGATTTATAAATAAATATTATATAAATTTTAGAACAAAGTAACTAATGGATCATTAAGAATTGTGTGCTTTTAAACTCTGAACTTTATTTGTTTGAGAAGAAATAATGTTTTGGGAATTACAAAAAATTATATTTTATCCTTATAATTTTTTTAAATTATATTTTATAAATAATCTCATACTTATATTTACCTATCTAAAAGTAAATAGTATTAAATTAAAAATTAAATACTCCTCTCCTTTTTTTTTTTTTTTGGTTTCTGTCATCTACTATTTTCTTCGGGCATTCGTTCCTTCTTTCCCGCACTAATCAAAATTAATGTAAGGAATTATGAACGTAATGCTTTTCCATTTTAGGATAAGGGACAGCCCAAGGGAAGCCAGGAAGAATACGTGGATGTCCGGAGAGTCTCAGATTCTTGGCCCTTTCTAGTGATTGAAACAAATGAATACCCATCGCCATGACTAGAATGAAGGTATTTTCTTCTCCATGGATTTGTTAAAATCCCCATCTTCTTGTGAATAGCTCCTGCTATTTGCCATGCCATGGCAGCAGAGCCTTCATTTGTAAGAGTTCCGGCTGGGTCATCGCGAGCTTGCCCAAGAAAGTATCACAAGAACACATCGGCTCAGCGTCTGGGCTTCGCTGTCCGAGCTTCTCATTCCACTGATGACAAGGACAGGGTGTATAAGCAACTGGGTATATCTCTTCTTTCTCTTTCTGGTTCAATGTGTGTGTCTCTGTGTTCGTCTGTGTATAGCATGTCTCTGGACTCTGGAATTGCGGTTGAGAATCTATTTTTTGAAGATTTAACGGGTAAATATCAGCGGAGTTCATTGGCTTCTAGCTCATTTGAAATGTTTGAGACAATTTTCTATTGAAATTAATTTTTTGTTATTATCATGAAAATTTTTGAGAAGATACTGGAACGGAATTTGAAGTTTCAATGTTTGGGGTCTGTAACTGTTAAAGGTATTTACATGGTGAGTCAGATGTGACCGCATCAAGTGTGGAACATCTTGACAAATATACTCCCCGTTTTATAGATCAATGAGTTGTGACTCAGATAGGTGTATCCATTCTTTAATGGATGTTCTAGCTACTGGTTCTTGTGGGATTTTAGCTCTTCAAAATTTTTAAATAATTTATTGCCACCAGTTATTCAACAATACATGTCCATCAAACTTAGCAATGAAATTATTTTTTTTTTCCTTTTTGATACATTTGTCTAATATCATCTTAAATAATTCATTGAACCAATATCAAATATCTAATAGAACAGACGAAAATCAGTTAGTTATGCCTTAATACATCAACACCACTATCTTTCTTCAGAACCTTAGGGCAAAGCACATCATATTGTGAGTTCACTGATGCCACCTGCATATCTTTAAATCTTATTAGATGTTGGATAGTTTACAGTTACTTGTTTCCTATACTGAATTCTATGTCAAAGAAAGTAGATTTTTGATAATTTCATGGCAAGCTCTAGTGATGATTGTGTGTGTTTAGGTTTGTTTTCATTAAAAAAGAAGATTGAAGACGCAATTCTCCGTGCTGAGACATTGGCACCAACAGCACTTGACCTTGAAGAAGAAAGATGGATCAAGCAAGAAGCAATGTTACGTGACTATAACTTGTGGGATGATCCTGTCAAATCAAACGAGGTTCTGGTGAAGTTGGCTGGTATTACCAAAGCAGTTGATTCTCTCAAAGATCTAAAGTATAAGGTAGCGTCTAAATTCATTGATTTTCTGTGCAAGTCTTCAAGAAAAAGAATTTGCATTTTATTAAGAAAAAGTTTGTCATCAAGACTGCTGCGTTTGTTGTTATGTTATAGGGTTGAACTATTGGAAAATAGGGTTTGGTTATTTATTTGATTTTTTCATTTTCCTTATACAACGCATCCTTTTGTCATAATTTTAATGTACTTGTTTTAGACGTATCTGCAGTACGCAACATGTAGTACCCAGTCANNNNCCATTTAGGTACTTATTACTCATCAAAAGAAAGTGAAATGGGGAATAGTTTCAATGATAATTTTCTCCTGTATTGCTAGGTTGAAGAGGCAAAATTGATAACTCAATTGGCAGAGATGGATGCTATTGACTATGGACTTTTTAAGCAAGCATACACTGTGTCGCTGGATGTAAGCAAGTGCTTGCATCAGTATGAAATGTCTAAGCTTCTTACAGAGCCATATGACATGGAGGGAGCATGCATGTTCATCAAAGCTGGATATGGAAGCACATATTCTGAGGTTTTATTTATTTGCTGCTTTTTCCCTCTTAGTTTGACTTTTTCCTGGAAGAGAAGTTTTTCCCCTGAAAATGAAATGTTATTAGCTTCAATATACGAAAAAGACCTGCTTTTGCTCTATGAAATTAGCATAGCTGCACAGGAGATATCTAAGATAGATGTATATTCCGGATAATTAACTTTATATTATATGGGGAGTCAGCCAGATTATCTGGTGCAGCCTGATTACTCACTATCCTATAACTTCATGTACATGGGGACTCAATCAGATTATCATTGGTTCTTCTATGCAGTTCCTGTACAAAGGTTCCTTTTATCCTTCTTAAATTTCAGTATTCAGATATGAAACAGTTTCCAACCGATCCTGATAGCACATGCAATTACATTTCAACCATGTCAAAAACCACAATTACTCTTCTCTTTGTTCCATGCAATGGAAAAAGTTTCAGAGAGTTGCAGGAGCTTTTCTAGTATATGGCATTAGATGGACACCATTTTGTAAAGGTGCAATGCTTTTTGAAGCTTGGTAGACCTGAATAGTTATAAGACCAATTTGTGATCTCCAATTTATTTTCCTATTATTGAATACGGTTTTATTTTGAATTTCCAAATCTAGATTTGGGCAGAACAACTTCTGAGCATGTATACCAAATGGGCCGAAAAACAAGGCTATGGAGGAAGGCTGGTCGAGAAACGTCTTTCCATCAGTGGTGGCATCAGTTCAGCAATAATTGAGTTTGAGTTTGAGTATGCTTATGGATATCTAATGGGAGAGAAAGGCGTCCACCAAATGATAAGAAGTTCTCTAGATGGATCACATCATGAGGTATGGTTACTGTTTACCTTAGATGGCCTAAAAGTTTAAGACATCTAAGCTACTCTTATCAGTCAAAATGAAAGAAAATTTTCGCTCAACTTTCTCTATTTTATGTAAGTAGATTTTTTTATCCTTTTGGTTGTCACTATTGGTACCTTCTATTGTCCTTTAGTTCTTACAATTAAGGAGTTAGCCTTGAAGCTGTTGCTTGTGTTTTGTTTTCTGCTTGGATGTTTGGCTTGCCACCCGTAGATCATGATTTTCTTTATTCCATTTCATTATAGAGTCTGTGTTTGTTGCTCCTACAATACACTAGCCATTTTGACCAAGGTGTGCTTATTTCACCATTTTATTTGTGAATTATAAATTTTTCAGGGAAGCTCTGCAACAGCAAGTGTGAATGTTGTTCCTTTGTTCCTTGGAACATCTCCTGAAGTACAAATCAATGATGATGACTTGATTATCTCGTTTCCATCATTTGGAGACAAACAGAGCCTTACCGAGCCAATGGTTTGCATTCAACATATTCCTACTGGAATAACTGTTGAATCTTCAGGTATTCAAAATTTTGCTTATCCTATACATAGTAAGATCTTCAGTTACCAATCATTCATTGACTGGATAGTCGATATTTCCACCAATTTCTATGAAAATGTGGATTTGAGTAGTGGGTTATGTGTCATGTCTGTTCTTATTAAGCTATTATATTACTATAATAAATATGTGTTCTGTTTGATCTGTTGGTAAACAATTTCTTAATGATTACTGTGATGCTTTGGAGAAGAAAACTCAGAAAACTTCTTGGTTGATTACAAACAGGTGAAAGGAGCTGCTTCACAAACAAGATCAAAGCCATTAATCGACTAAAAGCAAAGCTCCTAGTGATTGCAGACGAGCAAGGAGTTCGTGACGTGGAGAGCATCAGGAGAGATGGTATTGCTGATCCATGGCAAACGGAGGTGCGGAGATACATGTCTCATCCTCACAAACTAGTACATGATCTGAAAACTGGTCTGCAACTCCCTCACTTAAACTCTGTTTTGAATGGTAACATTGAAGCTCTTATTGGAGCTCATATCAGTACCAGACGATCATCCACTGATAGTATTTAATTAAAAGCACATGTTGAATTAGTTGGCTTCATAAATTTCTAATTACCACTTGTGCTTTGTGTTTTATAAAATAAATAAGAAAAATAGCTGGCTGCCAGCCACATTCAGCCATAGAATATTACTATAACAATGGAATCAAGATTTGGGCACATGATTTATAGTTGTAGTTGGAGGAACATGAAAAAAGTAAATTTCATATTTTATTCTTTATATATTTTTAAAATTTTACTTTTATAACATCTAACTATCAGGACACTGAAAGATTCCGGAAGACATTGAAAGAAATCTCCTAGTCTTTTAGTTTAAATTTGTGATGTAAAAAAAGTTGAATTAAGATGTTTTGTATCGAAATTTTTCTCAGAGAATAAAATCTAAATTTTTATTGATTTCACTCTCTCTACATTTAACAACTTAAAGTGTTTTTAAATAAACTTATATCGAATTCAAATTTTTTAAAAATAATTTATCATAATTTAAAAAATAAATATAAATTAAATATTATAAAAGATAAACTTTAATTAATAACATAATTTTTAAAAAATAAATATATTATAAATCTAATTAAAAATAAATTCTATTTAAATTTAAATTAATAAATAAAATAAATTATAATTTTTATATTTATTTTCAACACTTTCTTTTAATGTAAAAATTATGATCATCAAATTTATTTTGTTGTAACATTTCTCTCTAATATTTCTTATTTGATTTTCATATTTTGAAATATTTCTCTTCAATTGCTGATGTACTTCTCACTAATATCCGATTATTAATGCACTTCTCATCAATTTTCAATTATTTGATGTACTTCTCATCAAAATTTCTTAGAACATTTCTCTCTAATTTTTTAAAAATGATTTTTTTTCTTGAGCAAAATTTGTTTGCTCATTCTTTAATTTGTAATTTTTTTATATATATACGCCAAATCTTTTATAATAAAAATATTATAATTTATTCTTGTGCTAATAATATTTTTTATCATGATTGTTTTTCCTGCATACTCCGCATGGTGAAAATTTTTCC